CTGTTCGTCACCGAGACAAATGCCTTGTATATATTTTATACTTGGCTATTAAAGTATTTTGTATTCTATTCCGTATTTGCCTATGTAATGTATTTGCTTATCACATTTTGTAATGTATTTGCCGACTAAGTTTAATACTTTATTTAAATAAAGTATTAAAATTAAAAAAAAAACAGAAGTGGGGAGAGAGTGGTGCCAATTATGCCATTCTGCTAATCCAACAGCAATTCATCCATTCAGATCACGCCTAACAATTCATTTCCAACCTAAAACAGAACTTGGCTTAAAACGGTCAACAGCAGCGTCAGTTTCACTGTTTGGAATCTTACCTATTTGCACATCGGCTACCGAAAGTCTACAGATTAGCAAAGCTGCAGCAACACCTTCAGTTACCAGGGGAATCTGAGTGCTCTGAGCTCCTGCTTTCTCCACTGTCTGGACCAGCAGTGGCAGCATCTCTATTCCCTGCAAGAGGACATTGCCTGCAGAAGCAGAAAGAAAAACATCTGGTTGGTGAGTTTTCCCCCGTTCAGAAAAGAGAACTGATCTGGTATAGACATAAGGCAGAATCAGAAAGGCCCATCTTTATAAGGTGAACTTCCAGGTGATATAAGGGAAAGCCTTTCAAAATGAGCCCCCTGGAACCTGGGAGTTTAGGCAAAGTATGTAAGAAAGACTCAGAGAAGCTGGAACAGGAGTAGAAGATGACCGAGGTGTTGGAGATTGAGTCTCAGGAGGAGAGATAGATGAACTGGGAATATTTGGCCTTTAGAAGGCAGGGTGGCGGGGTTGTCAAGTGTTTGAAAGGAAGTTCCATATCATTACAGGGGGCAGGATGAGCCATTCTTAAATTACAGAAAGGAGGATTCCAGCTGAACATCAGGAGAAAGTTCCTGATGGTAAGCCCGATTTAGTCATGGAACCAAAGATCCAGAGAAGATGAACTCCTGTTCACTGGATGTGTTCAAGCAGAGGTTGGACAACCTCTGGCAGGGATGCCTGAATTTGGATTCAGCCTTGAGCAGTGGATCAGACTCAGCAGTCCCAACAGCCTCTTCCGATTTTAGAATTCCATGAAGACGACCTTCCTGATACCGCCCAATGGTCTGTTTAGACCAGCAGCCTACTTTCCATCACAGGCAAGAAGATGCCTCCAGAAGACGGTCCGCCCCAGCCTCTCACCTTTGAAGGACGCCAGCATACACTGGAGATACGCATGCCTGACAGCAGAAGTGCAGGCTTTAAGGCTGAATGCCTTCTTGAACCATTCAACCAGCTTTCTGGGAACTTCAGTGATGAACCGACTGCACCAGAGAGCAAGGATGGAAATGGCGTGCACCAGAGTGCCTTCATGGACTGCAAAACGAGAAAGTTATCTTCAGAAAGAGGGAGGAAAACACAGAATCACAGAACTATGGAAGGGGAAGGAGCCACGAATAAGGTGTAGTCCAACCCACTGCAGTGTGAAGGAAAACCAGTTAACAGTTCCCAAGAGGTAGCAGTCCAGATTCTTCTTGAAAACCTTCTTAGACAGAGAGGCCACAACCTCCATAGGTAGACTGTTCCACTGCTACACCAATCTTACCTTCAGGAGGTTTAAGTGAGATCTAGGTAGCTGCATCTTTTTTTTATTTGGCCCCTTTGAGTCAGTGCTGACTCCTGGAGAAGTCCCTGCAGTTTTCTTGGCAAGATTTCGGAAGTACTTTGCCATTGCCTGCTTCCTAAGGCTAAGAAGTAGTGACTGGCCCAAGGTCACCCAGCAGGCTTCATGCCCAAGGCAGGACTCGACCTCACCATCTCCCAGTTTCTAGCCTAGTGCGTTAACCATGACACCACACTAGCTGCATCTTACTCCCATTATTTCTGTCCTAATTTCTGTGCCAATGGAAAGGAGTTCCTGATCACCTTCCCTATGGCCCCTTTTTTGTAGCTAAACGCTCATTTTCTTTTCTCCAGACTCAACACCCTACATTTCTTTAGCCCATCCTCCCAGGGCATGTCCTCCAGTCGCTGTTATATCTCTGTTGCCCTTTCTGAACCTGTTCTAGCCCATCAGTCCTCTTCTGGAAATGCCGAGTGCTCAAACGCACACTTGTGGGTATAGTTAAAAGAGCAAACTACCCAGCTGCATTTAACTGCGGTTCCTTCTGGCCAGCTAGATGGAGTTGCATGCACGGCCAACTGCCATGGCCTAGCTCTTCTGCGTGACCTTCTCAGCTGCAGTTGCGCAATAGTATATTTTGGGAACGTGGGGTTTCAAGCATGTTGCGTTTTCCCCACTTTTTCATTTAATATGATTAGCCTCTTTGGGCATTCTATGGAATGGAAAGGATCAACAACAATTAAACAACTGAAGTCTGAAACAGTTGTAAGTGAGAAACTGCCTGTTTTCATCCCTGTCCATCTTTGGAAGGCAACTTAAAGCTTTTTTGCATCACACAGACCTACACACAATGTTTTCTGCTGAAAGCCACACTCTCTCAGGGATAATCTGGGCTGTAATGAGGATAAGGTTAATAAAATATATAGCCTCAAAAATCTAAACAATCCCACGTTGGCGGGGTGTCAGGGAAGCTAAAGCTAGAAGATGCTGCTTCTCCATAACAGCGCTGAAGCCCTGAGATCGAACTGGCTCCTCCCCTGATGGTTTTTAGGAAATAATAAAAAAGGGAGCATTTCAAATATTTTTTCAGCAATACCACTTGGCACTTGTTCTTACTATTTTTCCTCCCCTATTTTGGCTTTGTTTTTGTGATTTGGATGGTATGCAATTGTTTTCATTGTGACATGACAAGAGTCATGAGATTGAGTTTAAGACTGAGATAGGGAGGGAGGGAGGGAGGGAGGGAGGGACAACAACAGGAAGTACAGCAGCCCAGTTTAAAGGCTTAGTCAACAACTGTAGAGAGTAAGGAAGATGACCTTGATGGAAATATACATGAACCATTATCTAGGCAAAAGGGGATGAAGCATTTTTTTAAGTCCAGGAAGGCCGGATAACATTTGGAAGCAGCTCAGACAGACACCTCTCTAATTCACTGAACTATAAGGAGGAGAACCGCAATCAGATTTATGAGATTCTGCTAGTATACCCAATCTCAATAAAGCCGTTTTAGCCTTCCCGTGAGTTGATTTCCTGCTCTGGTCTGCCTCATGGGGCAGATAACAAGGGAGTCTTAGCTGATGCCTAAAGCCTACAAGGTTTGATTCCAGTAAAAGCTAAGCATGCCACAAATTCCACAGCCAGAGCAGCTCTCTTGGGTTTTAGAAAGAATTGCCGAAATGTACTTACCTTCCTGCTGAAGGAAAGGGATGAAAAGCTCAACCATGGTTCCGCTGAGAACTTGATTGGATGCCCCCGAAACTGCATGATGACTGCAACTACCAATCCCTAAAAGGAACAAGAGGCCACGGCTCGGAGTTCATTTGCCTTCTCGTTAAAACAATGGCAACAGCAACAACTCTGCAGCCGCCAAATGAAAAAAGCTCATTTCAAAACTGATCCTGAGCAAATTTCCTAATTTTGTGTGATGGAATGGTTTGGTGAAGGCCGCGCTCGGGGAGATAAGCATTTCCTTAGCTCCCAGAGTGTGGGAAGGAGGACATTCAGATTTTCAAGATTCTCTTACAATAAAAGTAGTCCTGACCTCTATGGCACTGGTTTCTTAGTCTGGTCTATTTTATGGGGCTGACCAATGGGAAGGAGGAAAACAGCCATGGATACCACTGAACTCCTTGGAAGACGACTGGGACATAATAAATAATAAAATGTAGTAATTGCTAGAGATTCTTAACGTGTCTTTTCTTTCTTGGAGGACTAAAACTGTGCCAGTGAATTGAACATTACAATTACAACATCTGCATCAGTTCCATCTATACAATCATTCTTTGTTCTCTTACAACAACTTTACCTGAGAGGACACTGATTTTTTGAGCCACGACGGTCAGCTTTCCCTCCGCACCTGTCAAAACGGAGTTGTGAGATTAACATGGAGCTTAAAGAAGTAATCCTAGCCTACATTCACTTAGAATGGTGAAGGAGAGTTTTTCCAGAAGGGCTTGTTAGGAGATGTTTTAGGATAGGAGATGTCAGTGCAAGGAACCATTGTGTTGTGCAAGAGAAAGCAACTCTATGTAAGCAACTCTCTGCCTCAGTTGGCAGAAGAGAAGAGAGAACGAAACCAACAAGGAGGCAACCCTCAAAGCCCTTCCCCCCAAAAAAGAGTTACTGACCTCCCAAAATGGCGAAGAGGTGCTTCCCAAAAGACTCCACCGTGGATGGGTCACTGCACTGCAGCGCCAGGTTCTTTAGCGCAACTACAGCCTTGTCCATCAGGTGAGAACTGTTGGATTTCAGCTGGCCTAAAAATCAAACATGGGAGCGGAGAGCTGTTAAAGAATTAAGGATTTCTTTTGTGGAAGAGAAGAGGCACAACAGAATGATTACACTGAATGGAAAAGAACTTTCCAGCCCATAGGCCAGATGCGGCCACAAGGCCTCGCCATCTAGGCTGTTACAAGGGCAGGTGGACCTTCCCAGTGGTTCCTTCCCCATATGTTGTTCCTTTCGCCAGGAATCATAGTACAGTGGGGTCCTGCATTCTTATCTGTTGGAATCATAATACAATTAGAAAGGCCAGGATAGTCATCCTGCAATTCTTGGTTTATGAACAAAGAGATGCTCTCCAGGCAGGTAGGGTTTGAGGAAAAAGAAATGCTGCTTACTGATGTCATCTAAACCCCTAGGAGGGGTTCCAGGAGGTCATCCAGCATTTTGACTGAAAAAAAAAAATTCCAACCCTGGCAAAATTCAAATAAATAAATAAATAAATAAATAAATAAATAAATAAATCAATCAATCAATCAATCACTATGAATTCGCTCCTTCTGTTTTTTTCAAAATTCAAATAAATAAATAAATAAATAAATAAATAAATAAATAAATAAAGCACTATGAATTCGCTCCTTCTGTTTTTTTCAAAATGTTTTCACCCATTAAAATCAACCCCTAACCAATAGTTCAAATCATGAAGCAAATTAAAAAGGGGAAAAACTTTCTTGTGTTACTCAAAACCCAAGCTTCTGTCCTTCTCAAAAGCATCTGGCAGAGACCCACCAAACTTTTACACCAGCCCTCCCCAATGGCTGCTGGCCACAAATGATGGGAATTAAATTCAACAGATCTGGGAGGCACCAATGTTGTGGCAGCTCCTTTCTAAGACATAACTCTTGATCAGTTCATCAAATAATTTGCAGTGCTCTCACAACAGCAAGGCTCAAATCCAGTAATGACAGGTTGATGTTAACAATGCAGAAGGGCTAGAGAGAATCTTCCATAACTCATGAAAGCAACATATACTCAAACAAAGGTACTTACTGGCTAGCCCTTTCACGATGTCCAGAGCGTACTGACTGAGGTCGAGGGTGACCGAGGCCAATAAACAAGAAATTGCTAAAGACAGAAGAAAAAGATGCATGTTCAACCCAAAGGCTTTCTGACCTCGCCAACAACAGCCAAAACCAACCACTGCAGCCAGTGCTACATTCACAGCTGTGTAGGTACCAATATTAAACAACATGGAACTGTGGACCAGCTGATATGAAACAGAGCATCTTCTGCAAGCAGCGAGGAGGATGCTGACAGAGCTGACACGGGGTGGTTGGTGGATGGGTGTGAGGTTTTATCAGGGCCTCAGTGTAGTTGTAATGGTATGTGAGAATGACCTTGGGAGACCAGGAGAAGAGATGCTGCCTAGGGAACGGTCAGATAAGAGGGAGCATAGTCCACAGCTGCATAGTAGACGGAGCAAGAGGCTCAGGAGGGACCCTCCCTAAGTTATCAGGATGTAAAGGTGATGGCAGGAGAATTGTATTTTCACATTCGCAAGATTCTGTTAACGTAGAACCTTACTATAAAGTAGAATTAGATCATCTGGTCATGTTTCCTGTCTGGTCTACCTGGGAAGACTGACAGTAGTTTATTGTTTTAATGACGCAGGGCTTGGTTACTTAAGGGACTGCCTGTCTCCCATAGTATCTGCCTGATCGGTTCAATCTGGCAGGGTTGGTGCACTCTGGATTCCATCAATTAAACAGTGCCACTAATTGGGACCCCGGAAGTGTGCCTTCTCTGTAGCAGCATCTGACCTCTGGAATGAGGTTCCCCCTGAAACTACTGGTGTCTTAAAGGGCCTTAAAGACCTTGCTATTCACCCTAACCAGTGTTTCTCAACCTGGGCAACTTTAAGATGGGTGGACTTCAACTCCCAGAATTTTTAATGGTCACTAAACAAATGGTCGTTAATTGAGGACTACCTGTACAAGCATCAGCATTCAAATACCACTGGAATCCCTGGGATCCCATATCAGAAGGATCCTGATCCACCCATACCAGCTCTCCTTCACAAGGTACTCCATATTCTTCCCCCAATCACTCACTTTCAATGGCGTTCTCCGGGCTCCGCAAGAGAGATTTCTGCAAAGCTGGCAACATGAGGTCCTTGAATTCAGAATGAGACACATACCGGAGCAGAGGCGCACAATTGTCCTGCAAAGAATCAGCACAGCTTTAAGGCAAAGAATTTACCCCAAAGAATCATAAACAGCTGGATAGTGACCTAGGATCAAAAGGAATTTGCACTGAACACCGATTCCTGCCTCAGCCCCTGGCTAAATCTTTCTTTAAAAGAATCCAACTGCTGCTGAACAAGAAGGAAAGAATCAAGTGGCTGGAACAGGACAAGCAAATTGTCACGAAAAGCCAGACCAGGGGTCACTAAGTCCAGCAATCACCTTTCAACAAAACCAACCAGCTGTGTTGATGTCATTTATCTCATGGGGTCCTGTGAAGGTTAATCCTCAGACAAAAGGTAGCAACCTGATACTAGATCAGGTTAATAATAAGAGATTCTGTCCCTCCTACCCAAAAGAGATTCTGCACCTATATATAAAATGGGCTAGAGAAAAACACACTAGAAACATGAACATCAATTATGAGAATCCGAACTTGCATTTGATACCCAGCCGTTACTGGAATTCTTTCCTAATGGCTTCTTAGCTTTTCTACTGTAAACTACGTATCAAAATTTCCTGGATTCTCATTATGCTTGTTTAATTGGATTAAACCCAGCCTTGCCAGGCAAAGGTCTGACTGCTACTATGTTAAGAGGAAAAGGATGATGGGAACCAACTATAACATATGACTGTTTGATTTAAAACTGCCCTTTTCATCTATTTAAATACCTATATAGCAAGAAAAAAATACATAGTAATTAGTACCTGAACAGAGTGATAATGCATCCTTTCAAACTGAATAGAATTTGAAATATCAAACCTAACATTAACTCCATCTTTATAAAACCTAATTTATTTTTTTCTTCTGCGTATTCAAACTGAGATAATATATTGTATAATCAAAACTAAACATGTAGTTAGCTACCACGACATGAAAATGACAACCATTCCTTGTTTGTATACCCTAGATCAGTCCCCAAAGCACTTGAAAAGATTTAGATTATGTTCAAATAAACTTCCAAACTATTTTTAAGAACTGGGACACTTTAAGGAGCCTCCTTGGAATCAGGCATGATAAGGGGAGCCTGATCTGAGTCAAAGAAAAGTACAGCCAGCACATATATTCCATAATTAGAAGCGGTAGGTTAGGGAATGCAGTTAGTGAAAAATTATTTTCCTTAAAATAACTTTAACATAATTTAACTGGGCTTAGCAGTGTGTTAAGTCATGGTTTGTGGAAGAAGCCAGAATTGCTACATCACATTAAGCTACAAAGCATGGTTCACAAACAAGAATGGCTGGGTTCACAGAATGTGCTAAGCAAAAACAAAGCCACATTATGACACAACAGTACGTCCGAACCCTGTCTGCATGTTGTCAATCTGAAAGAATGCATTACCATTCTATTACTATTACAAATGATGATGACTCTAAAGTCTGCATCAGAGCTATCTTTGCAGAAAAACAGAAAGACTGCTTCAGTTTCATGCCTATGTTTTACAGCTTCTTTTTCTACACGCACATGAATTTCTACTACCTAAGGATAGCTCTGGACACAGCAGGCAAAGTGGACATTCGTCTACAAAAGTTTTTGCTAACATCTGCTTATGGCGCCACAAGACTACATAGAGTTCACTGTGGCAAATTAGAACATGATCTCATGATTTGGGGACTTCAAGGGACTTTCTCTCACCAGCACGTGTTTGTGAGGCTTGGTCTTGCTCATCAGGATGGTCTTCATGTAGAAGTCAAGGAGGGCACCCTGAACAAGCAGAAGTAGTCATGATACGAACACATAACAATACACATCACTTCATAGCAGGGCCAGAGAATATGGGTTTGCTATGAAAATTACAAATGTTATACAGTCTCTATTTATAACCTCAGGACAGGACTCAATGTGGTCACATCAGTGCTTGGTTCTGCTGTGGCTTAAGATCCCACTCCAGTTAGTAACTGGAGGTGGAACCCCTTTACCTTGTAGGTTCCCTAAAGGGCCTTCTTCCAATTACTTTATATAGACCCTTTAAGAAAGCCTTGAAGATCTGGTTCTTCTCACAGCCATGGTTGATGAGTTAGCTGTAATTATATGAGGTCTGTGTTCTGGTGTTTCATTATTTTGTTGTCCTTCATGTTTTACTATGATGGTTTTAACCCGTTACCCTTCCAGAGTCACTTGGCAAATGGGAGGGCCACATCAAACTGAATAAACAATAAAATAAGGCATCTGAATCTGCCATTTGGACACAAAGCACCAGAATCTGAGCACCGACTGTACTGCCATGAGGGAAAAAGAGATGGCTCTTCCCAAAATAGGAGGGTTTTAAGCTACCCACTGAAGCCAACCCCAGACACTATCTCAGCCTACATCACTGCCAGCAATTTGCTAAGCAGTTATATCTTTCCCCAGCACCAAATGGTCTTCTCAAACTTGCCTTGTGTTTGTTGATGGTGCTGAGATCTTTCTGACTGGTGCAGAACTGCACAAGCAGGCCCAGCATAACTGCATATCCCTGGTTGGCTTCCAAATGAAGAATGATGGAGAGATACTGATCCACCAGCCCAGGATTCTGCAGAGAAGGAAAAAACTGCATGTGAGAAGCCAAAGACAAGAGCCCTTCTTGACCTGCAATCCCTACACCCCGCAACCCAATGTGTTAGCTCACACTTTCTACCATGCCTGGTCAAGATATACAATCCCAACACACCCAGAAGATAGGAGACAGATAAGCCTAACAGAAACCATCAAGCTTGGGTCCTGTTTGCAGAAAATGTACTTCACCTCTTTCCACAGTCTGTTCAGTTTCTTCACAGCCCCGTTCACCACAGCCTTGCGGGAGCCACCTAGGATCTCCAGCAGAAGGAAACACTGAACTTCCACCTGTTTAAAGACAGGTAAAGTGCCTGCTGGGATCATGTAATATCACTGGCAATCCTTGACCTCAGTTTCTAGCTTGTTGACATTCTTGGTCAGCAGCCAATTTCAAGGGGCCATATTTTGAATCAAGCTAGGGCTGAGAGGGCCAGGAAGCTTGCCCCTGTCTACTTCCCCAATATGATGTCCTCCAGACATTCTGGACTATTTTGGACTATTAAACTCATCATCTACAACTCCCATCATTTTGGAGTACAACTCCATCAGAACTCTCCCAAGCCCTTATGCCAAAAGCTCAATTTGTTGACCCAGTTAAGTTCTCTCTCCTCCACACAATGCCTCATTTTGAGGCATTCCACCCCTTGAGCGTTGGGAAGAGAAGGCAACCAAGATAGATTATGGTAAAATGACACAGCAAAACCAAGGACTCTTACTAGCTTCTCCCACGTTTCTCCTTGCCTCTTGTCATGTGTCGGGAAGACAATGCGAACAAGCAGACAGGTCCATGAGAGAGCTAGCGAAGCTGCAGATCCACTGCTCTTGCTATGACAGAAAGGAAAAATAGGGGACTGGGCTAAGGGTTTTGGCAATAATATGGGATTCCCATTGCTGATGCAGATGGGAAAATTAGCAAAACGTTACAGAGTAAGCCACAGGACTACAGCGTTCCCTAAATGGGCACTCCAAGTCTACCACCTTTCCACGCGAATTCATTTCACTGCCTCCTGCTATGATTTGGTAGGTTAAGCTTCCTCAACCATTTGTATGATGGCCAGGGGCAAATAAAGTCCAACACATCCAAAGGACACCTGACAGCTAATATAATTTAATCAGTTCTGTAAGGTAGACCAAACTAAGAAGCCAATGCCATGTAGGCCAGGACTTTTATTGTAACAGCTGTAGTAATAGAATCTTGCAAGCTTGAATGTGCTTCCCCCTCCTCGCTTTATCTTTGTGCGAATAGGGAGGGGCCTGAGATGTTTTCTCAAATTAGTTTCTTGGAATGGGTTCAAACCCCACTTGTCCAATTGTTGCCCAGCTAGCGGGTCTTCCTCCTGTCCTTCAAGGCCATTCCCTCTGCCCTGTACAAATTCACAATTACATTCAGACCACTGCTAATCCTGGTTAGGACATGAGAGCTCTGATTAAGGATGTTAAAATAGGGATTGAAGACCTTTGGCCCACCAGTGTTGCTGACTTACAAGTCCCAGCAGTTCCAACCAGTACAGCAAGTGGTGAAGGATACTGGGAGCTTATTTAAGTATTTAATAGATTTATAAGGCCACCAAACATCAGGAGTTGTAGTACAAGAACCACTGGAGAGTCATAGGTTGCCTTCCCCAGTCCTAAAGATTTTCCACCCTGTGGAACATGTGCTTAATCAGTGTCACGCCTATATAAATCAAACCACATCTGAAAAGAAAAGCCAGAACTAGGGAAAAGAGGGAGTTGCCTGGACAGCTTCTGAAAGCGTAGCTACTTCTGTGGCAAAAAAAATCTCATCTGCACATCACCCCGCCAAAAAAGAAGTAACAACGTCAAAGGGGGACGAGGATTTCCATTGCTAAAATATGCCTTTTCAGTGTGTAAGAGAGAAGAAGGATTCCAGAAGGATAAGAGCTGAAAAATATCTGCAGGACCACCTCTCCCCAATTACATATGCCCATCCCATTAAATTTGGCAGGGAGGGCATGCTTCGGGTCCCTTCTGCTAGGGATTTACACTTGGCGAGTCCCAGCAGGTGGGCCTTCTCTGCCATGGCGCCCACCTTATGGAACATTCTCCCCTCCCCTCAAAGTGAGGTTAGCTCCATCCCTGTTAATGTCCCATAAGTCCCTCAAGACCTGGCTTTGTCATCAGGCCTGGGGGTCCCAGCAGATGGGGGATATTCTAAGATGGCTCTGTCATTGTGTTTAATTTACTCTCTCCTGTTTCTGATGGTCTGTATTTTTTAATAATGATTGCTTTATACATTTATTGCTTTATTTAATTGCTGTATGCTGCCCAGAGTCACTTCTAGTGAAATGAGCGGCTACATAAATTTGACAGATAAGTAAATAAATAAATTGACATCAAAGGAGCAGGCCGTTCTGATTTCAAAAACTGACTTCCAAAGAAGTTATTGCACAACACTCAGCTCTCACCTGGACCCCCCAGACTTGCTGCTGATTCCTGAAGACTGCAGGGAGTGCAAAAGATTCTTTGCGGTTGCTTCTGGCTGGCATTCAGCAAGCTGCCGAAGGGCTGCTTGAAGGGCTCTGTGCGATGCAGCATCTCTAACAAAAAAATGTATTTAAGAGATGGAAGGGCAGAAATCATGAGCTGCAGAATTTGATTCCTCAATCAAGTTTTCCTAATGATTTGCATGTTTGTTTCAATAATAGCAGAGGTTACTGAAGATAGTATTTTATAATTATAAATATTTATAATTATAAAATATAAGCCTCAGTATGGGTTTCCTTTTGTACCCCTGAAGAAAGCACAATATACATTTTAAAAAGTGGTAAACAGAACTGTGTTTCATATTTTCATCTCTTTCAGACAGGGTCAAAATATGAGCCAACATGCTTATATCTTGCAGTTTCTGGGGAAAAAAAACAACCTTTCATAGTTAATCCACAAAAGCTGTATGCTAGCCAGGAATTCTGCAAGTTGTAGTCCTAACACAACCAGAAGGAACAAGTTGTGCAATGCCATTGTAGGTGATCACCAGTTAAAGTTTAATCAGTGAACTGAAAACCTATTTCTTTATTTACAGGAATCTGCTTTGTTTTGTCTTCTGTCCTCATAAACCATTTTGCAGCAGAAATTTTAGAGACAGGAAATAGAAGTAATGCTTTTTCAGAGCATTCTCATTTACTGTATATTTCTCCAGGCAGACTGGCGAGGCTATTATCTTAGCCCATTATTCTTTAAATGCCTTACCCAAAAATTTATGGCTTGAAAAAAAATAGGATTTTAAATAAATTTAAAAATGGTATCTATTTATTTGCTCATTTATTCAATTGGCTAGGCACCCTATATTATAGAAGTTCTCTGGGTAAGACTGGCGAGGCTATTATCTTAGCCCATTATTCTTTAAATGCCTTACCCAAAAATTTATGGCTTGAAAAAAAATAGGATTTTAAATAAATTTAAAAATGGTATCTATTTATTTGCTCATTTATTCAATTGGCTAGGCACCCTATATTATAGAAGTTCTCTGGGTATTATGCAATAAAACACAAACAATATCTAACAAAAGCTTTATGGGCAATTAGAACAATGGTTTAAAAAAAAAACAGCAGAAAGTTTTAAATGGGGGAGAAGTCTTACCATTAAGCCTTTAAAAAATACCACCCATCTGCTTCCATACACTGCACCAGATCAAATAAATGTTATCTGAACCAGAGGGCAAAGTCTCTAGACTATCCAGTTTGACAATTACCTGTATCGATGTAGAGTCAGGCAGAAAAGCTTACAGAGACCCTTCACTGCACCTTCTGGCAGATCTAAAAAAGATCAGACCAATTCAACATGGTTCACCAATGAAAAGCAATACTTAAAATCAGAAACATTGTTAAATTCCATGTGTAGTTGCTAGTTTCCCCTCAAAAAATCAGCCACTAGGCAACTAGATTTGGAGTGGGACTATGGCCCAGAGGCATAAAACAAAGCAGCTTTGTTTCACACACTGCAGTTCCAGGGAAAACACCCACCCCCAAGTACAGAGCTTCTACTGATGTTTAGATTTAATCAATATCTCCACTGTATAAGCTCTTTTCTATTCAGTGTTATTTTGACATCATATGACTACCTTTCCCAGTAATGCATCTTCCAAGTTCACTGAGGATTTCTCTACGTTCCTTCACACTGGATGTGGTCACTTTCACTGCAAATCTCTTCAGTGTTTCCGAAACCTAAACAGATGATAGAGGTTTGGGGCAAGGGGAAGAGAAGATAATTCCTGTGGGGTCCCTTTTGGAGATGCAAAAGATAATCAAAGACACATCTGTGCAGAGCTCCTTTGTTTGGAGTAAGTTATGTACAGGGGTTCAAATCTAAGACACATTAGATCAAGTGATATGTTTCATTTCAATATGTCCCTTTTTCACTGGTTTCCATTACTCACTGTATATTTGCAGAACACAGAGACATAGAAATCAAAGAAATCAAAGACAAAAAAGCTAAAAAGAGAAAGACTGGGTAACACTGGGTTCATGCATACACTAAACCTGGAGAAGGTACCCTTTCGATAAACAGGAGTGACTTTCTTTTATGCTAAGAGTCGCAGTGGGTGGGGTTAATAATGCAAAATAGATGGGGCCAGGATTCCCAGGATTCTGGGAATGTCAGAGGCTTTCCTGGCTTTAATTTAAACTATTCTTTTTTAGAGAATATACTTCAGCTTTTGAGCACTTCCTCTCAAAACATTAGGAAACTCTGGCCCTAATTTTCACAATAGTGTTCAGAAGGGGCTGCAGAAAAAGAGGTTTGAGGTTTTCCTACAGCCTGGCCCCATTCCTGTCCGTGAAATGAAATCTGGATACTGGTCTAAGCCATTGGGTGCACGCATCACACTAACCTATGATGAAGTTTATTTTGTTTTGGTTTGCTAATAATTAAGAATTGCATTGAACACAAAGACATCATTTTAGCAATTCCATGTCCCGAAAGTCCTGCTGTCGAGTTATTTCCCAACTAGAATACAATCTTTTCTTGAAACTTATTTGTGGTTTGCGAACATTTAGCGTTCCCACATCCAGTAAAAGAAAGTTGACATAACACTAACCAGACCCTTTAGCGACAGCAATAACTAAGCGTGGCTGTCTATCTGCATATCACAATACACAAGCTGTCGTTTCATCCCAACGAGTTTCGGAGCTGAGTTTGAACGTGAACCCCCGACTTTTTGGCCAGACTCCACAACTGGACAGGCAGGAAGGCAAGTCTGCGCTTGGCCTGTCCGAGAAATAAACGCTTGGAAGGGCTCCTTTTAAAATATAAGAAGGAAGCCCGGCCGGATTCTGAAGAACGAGAGGATGGCCAGAGTTTCCAGGAAGGGCGCAGATTCGGCAGGCAAATACTCCGGCGTCTGCTTTCCACGTAACGATTTCACACACTGACACCCTGAGAAACGCCCGCGAAAGGCCCTTCTCTCAAAGCCAGGAGAGGTCCTCCCACCGACTTCCACCCCCGCAGCCGGCCAGGGTTGTTGGAGTACAAAGCCCATTATCCTACCGACAGACACCCCGACCCCGTGATAGGAACCGGGGGACCACAGGCTCCAGAGGGCGTCAGGAAAGAGTTTGGAGCCGTGGGAAGCGGCTCCCCGCACCCCTCCGCAACCCCCGCGGAACCTCCGAGGCCCAGCGCGGAGCCGGGAAGCTGCTCGCTGCGGGGCAGGGAGCGAGCAGAGCGGGGCAGGCGGAGAGGACGCGGCTTCTCGCCCGCGCAACAGAGCCAACCCGGCGGCGGTGGCTCCTCGTCCTGTCCTGGCCGGGCCCGGCCTCTCCCTCTCGCACCCCCCGGGCCTTCAGCAGCACCCACCTGCGTGTCAGCCGCCCTCGCGCCGGCTCCGTCCCGGAAACAGTTCCGCTCCAC